ATTCTTCACAAAACTTCCTCTCTACAAAGCTTGTTCTCTTCCATTCTGCATTCTGACTGACAGCATGCTCTCAAGCCCTTTGAAGCATGGGAAACTGTGGCCTGTCCTGGTGGTACCCAGTAATCCCAGCATTCTGTAGGCTGAGGGAGGAGGATAAATTCAAGGCCAGCTTAGGCTGCATAGTAAGACCCCGACTCCAAAAACCCAACGAAAACAAAAAGAAGAATGAAAAATAGGAAATTATAATTCAAAAACATAAATGTAAAATCTAACAGGCCAAACCCACCGTCTGGTGTTAAGCCTACTTCTCAGGACCACTCTTTGCTTGTCAGCTTCGTTTTAATTTTTATCGTGCTAGGATGGACCCCAGGGCCTCAAGCTTGCTATGCAAATGCTCTGCTACTAAACTACACACTGACTCTTTTTAAGGGCAGAAAATGGCCACCTGTAAAATTGCATTTGCCCTACTTGCAGAAAGCCATGAAGCAAATTTACCATTTTTAGCCTTGCTACATATAAGAGCTCAGGACACTTCCGGGTTGGCTGAACCCAAGCTTTTGTCTGGTTTGTGAACTGAGAAATCTCTAGGCTGAATTCTAATCCCTCCTGGAGCAGAGTTTAACAATTCACTATATATGGGCAGGGGCAGAGTGAGGCTGTACCTTTTGAAAGACCCTTTACAAAGTCTGTGTAAAGCTTAGGGAAATAACAGGCTTCAGACCAAAGAGTAAGAACAAGTCATACTAAGTAAACTTTAAGTACTTCTATTAAACATGTGCTAAACTGTGACTGAGCAAGGATTAATCTCCTTCACTTATGTAGAAGGCTAAAAATGTACATAGATCTCAAGGGAATTGGTGATGGAAGACAGGCATTCAAATGCCAAGTGTACATACAGTTCTTCATCCTAGTTCATAATAGCACTTTTATTCATTAAGAGGGATTACTGCGCCTCCCCAGTAGAGAGGTGAACAAACTCTGTAATTATTATGCATTTTCATCGTCATTATCAAAAAGTGTGCATTAAACACTGTTAGGTATAATTTTACTGGCTGAGCCAAGAGCCTCTCATTACGACCCCTGCTGTGCCCAGTTTCTGTCATAAGAGCCAAAGCACGCTCCTTAAGACTCACAAGCCCAAAGGGTAGATCTTCTTCATGCTGTCCAATTCTATTCACACGGCCTGAGAAAGGCAGGATTTCCCACAAACGTGCCCGCCTCACAGAAGAGCCAGTGGCAGAGAAATGAAGAATTAGGGAAGAGGGTGCAGCTCAAGCGGCACAGGGCTGGTTTTGTGAAGCCCTGGATTTCAACCTTAGCGCGCCTGGTGGAGGTTGGGGGAGAGGAGGGTCCACCAGAGGAGGCAACTCAACCAGCTTCCAGAGAGAGCAGAAAGTTCTGGCACCTTCCTTCATCTTTGTTCCCAAGACATTGAGATGGTCAATGGAGCCACAGTCCTCAGCAAAGTAAAGGCTGGCTGGGCTGGGTGGGGGCCCTGGCTCCTCCTCACCCTCACACCTGGCAGGGAAACCCCTGGCAGGTAAGAACACACCCATGCTTTCATTTGGGGTCTACTTTTTCCTCTGCAAGGGTTAATCAATACTAGAGGAAAGATGAACAAACATGCCAGAAAAAAAGACATGTGGTGAAGGGCAGAAAAATTACTGATGACAAATTAACCTTGGCTCCTGAGGAGGCAGGAGAGAAGGCGACTGATAAGGTTACTGCATTACTGGAGCGACACTTGCTCACACTGGTGCTTTGTGATAGCAGGGAACGGAAAGCCTGAGAGGTCACGTGGTGGGAGGCCCTCAGTTTTGACAACCTTTGCCCTCCTTTCCTCCAAGAGAGGTAACAGAGGGCAGCAGAAAAAACTGCTCTGGGTCAGAGAAATCAGGGTTCAAGTCCACCTTCCCTCTATCTCCCAGAAATCACAAGACACCACCTAACCTGTGAGAGCTGACGCTTCTCATCTGAAAATGAGGTGTAGCTTATAACGCTGCTGTAAGGACGAAATGGAAAAAATGATACAAAATAATCACGGCTCTGACTGATGGCCATGGCTGGACTTCCTCTGTGCCAGGTACTGGGCTAAGCACTGGAAATATATTACCATTGCGATTCATTTTATCCTGTCTAGTGCCCAGCCTAGGAACCCTCCAGCAAATGTTTCGTTCTTTCCTGGGCTAAAAATGAGCACTCAACGTTACACCCCGGGCATTTATCAGCACATTTCTGCCACATTCCTCAGCCTCTCTCAGTTGAGCCAGCCTTCTCCCTGGCCTCACCTTCATCCTCCACTTCCTTTTTCCACTTCTACCAGAGGCCATCAGAGAGCAGGGGCAGCATGAGTCTGGGTGGTACCAGAGGCCACAAAGTATTGCCTTAGCCTCATTGCTAAGATCCCTCCAGCGGCACAGATAGGCAGCAGTGCTTCAGGCAGCCTGGCAGGGTGTTTCTGCTGAAGGGAGATCCCAGTTGAGTGTGGAGGGTGTGGTGAGCTGCAGCCAAGAGTCAGTAATGTAAACAAGAACTGTGACTGGCCAGTCACACATTCAGACCCAGGATGACCCTGTGCTGCAGGGAGAGGGGGAGTGCTCTTGCCAGCTGCAAAGGTGTCTCCAGAGCCCTCGGCCAGGCTTCTCCTCTGGGGCCAGTGCGCCTGGGGGACTTGGTGAGCTTTATGCTCTGGAGCCCACCGGTCTTCTTTTGGAATGACATCCCATTCAGAAGTAATAAGAAAGGTTCCCTAAACTAGGAGGGCTTTGTCAGCTATGTAGACTGCCCCGCATTTTCCAATCACTTTTGACTTGGAAATGAGAAATACAGATATTGAGAAAATACAGCCTCCCAGCTCTTCCAGGCAAGAAACTGGCAGCCTCCCACCTCACGCCTGACTTTCATTTACCATTTGGAGCTTTCTGAGTGCTTATACATGCTCTGTCACATTTGATCCTTGCTTTAAAAGACCACGAGGTCAGTTAGGAATGAGCACACAAAGCAGTCCTGGGGGCGGGGGGGTCAGGAAAGCGAAGGACTACGATTTTGAAAGCAAATAGATCTTTCTCTCTTTGCCAACCCACCTCCCGCCCCCTCCCTGAGCTGGGGACAAATCCAGGGCCTCAACATGCTGGTGAAGCATTCTAGTTGCATTCTAGTTACACCCCTAGCTGAAAGCAAATAAATCTTTTTAAAACTCAAATTAATTAGACTCTACTCATCCTAGCAAAGAAACTCCCATTCTTTACAAAAAAAGAAAAAGAAAGATAAACGATAAAGAACTGCTCTACTTATAAGAGCCAGGGCAGGGTAAACGATGATTTAATGTACCTTTAAGACTTTAAGACCCTTTGCTAACATTAATAAATGCCATTAATTAATCTGGGCTTAAGTAAATTACACTTAATTTGCAAACAGAAAATCTGAGGTAGAGAGAATGCCTCTGGTTATCAGATATACCTAAATATACCTAGAGTCTGAACCACTAACATCCTATAGGTAGGATTTGTGAATTTAATACCAGTCAACATAAAAGAAAAAGCATAACTCTATCTCTCTTGTTATTATTGGCACTAAAGTCAAGATTCATAAATGATATCTGGAAAAAAGAGAGAGAAGCCAGCAATATTTGTAGAAAGGATGATTTACACAAAATTTACCCTCTTTTATTTATTTATTATATTTTCTGGCAGTGCTGGGGATCAACCCAGGGCCTCATAGCTACCTGGCCTTTTACTTATAAAATATCTCTTGTCCTTCTATTTACATAGTAAAATCTTTATAAGATTTTATACTGTTTAATTTAATGCTTATACGCATATGTGTTTGTGTAATTTTTATTAAGCTTTTCTTCAGAAATAAAGGACAGTATCATTACAATTTTAGAAGGCTTTATAAAGTTGCTAGTCTAGGGCCTGGAGTCAGTGAGATGGTTCAAGAGGTAGAGGCACCAAGTCTGATGACCTGAGCCTGATCCCTGGAACCCACATAAATGTAGAGGGAGAAAACCAACTTCACACAGTTGTGCTCTGACCGCCACAGGAGGAGCACTGTGATGTGACCTTCACCACACACCATGCATACACATGATAATAATAGATTAAAATTTTTAAAAATGTTTAAGGGGCTGGAGAGATGGCTCAGCGGTTAAGAACACTGGTTGTTCTTGCAGAAGACCCGGGTTCAAATCCCAGCACCCACATGGCAGCTAACAATTGTCTCTAACTCCAGTCCCAGGGGATCCGACAGCCTCTTCTGACCTCCATGGGCATTGCACGACACAGGTGCACTTACCTACATGCAGGGAACACACACATACACATAAAATTAAAAAAATAAATGTTTAAAATTGTTACTCTGTTTTCTCCTATGATGCTCTTAACTACTTAATAATTGAATTAATATTTGGGACAAACAAAATAAATACCTTTATATTACGGTACAGCAATTTTTACCCTCTAGTCAGTTATGAAGACACCATATATTAATACCCTACCCACTGTTCCTGAGTTTAGAGTATCTTTATCCAAAACTGACTTTCTTTTCCTTTTTTTTTTTTAAAGGTGTAGGTATTATAACCTGGGTTCACTCTAGGCAAAGGTCAAATGTTAAATGTTAGATGATAAAAAACAAAAACAACAACAAAAAAAACCCTTAAATTTATTGGGCTCCTATGTGCCCAAGTAGCAGGCTGGATGCACAAGCAGGGCTTAGTCATCTTGAGAACCGATGAGGTAAGGGTCATTATCCTCATTTTACAGGTGAGGACACTAAAGTTCACATGCATTCAGAACCTTGCCTGAGTTTCTCAATTAAGGTGCAGCTCAATCTGATTCAAGATTCTATTAAGCCAGGCTCTTTCTATGGGGTCACCATTTATGTGGGAAAAGTCAGGCTCTAGGAAGGACAGTGCGTTTCCCATGATGGCTCTGACACTCCTAAGAATATGCAACTTCTCTCATCACTCCAAACACCCCAGACTCATGTGCCAGGTTCCTTACCTCTTCTGATTCAGGCAAAAGCTTAAGAATTTCTCGAAGTGTCTCTGCTCCATAATGTTCGCTCCTTCCTTGATGAATATCTTCTACAACGGACCGAGGAGACCTTGAAAAGATAAGGAGTCATAGGCCACTTCACATTTGGTGGGCAAATCAACACAAGCCAGTGGAAAATAAAATGCATCTTTCTCAGCCTCCGTTCCAACCACCTTCTTCCCAGTCCAGCCCCATTATTGGAAATGGCTCTAGGGCCCTTTCTTCTTTAAAATCCTCCTCAGGCATATCAGGAAGGCTGACAGCCACACCAATCACTGGGAGTCTTCTTTAAGGGGAAGAAAAGCAATGTCCTTTGGCCTCACAGTATTCCTGTAGAGCCCCCTCCTTGTGAACTCAAGTTATTTGTCTCATCAGTCCAATCTCCATGGAAGAGGTGACACTAAGGACGAATCAAAACCTTTCCTGAGAAGGGGCTCATGAGGACTCACCTCTCATTGAAGAACCATAGGCAGGTCAAGGGCACCAGGGGCAGGGGAGGACCATTTTCTGCAGTGGTGTAGCCACTGATAAACTGCCCACGTTCCAGTAAATAACTCCCCACTCACACTCATCTAAGAAACTCAGCGGGTCAAAAAAAAAAAAAAGACATCAAAATAGAAGAGGGCTTGCTGGGAAGAAGGGTAGAGTCCGGGAGAGGAAAGGAGATAAATGCTCCCAAACATAGTTTATACATGTATAAAATCATCAAAGAATTAAAAAATTTTGCCAGGCGTGGTAGTGCACGCCTTTAATCCCAGCACCTGGGAGGCAGAGGCAGGCGGATCTCTGTGAGTTCAAAGGCCAGTCTGGTCTACATAGCAAGTCCCAGGCAGCTGGGGCTACAGGAAGACCCTGTCTCAAAAAGTCTAAAAAGGAATTAAAAGTTTTTAAAACTATTTCCTGGCATGTCAGACTCCAATGATTGGACACCCCAGGGCATTTCTCCCTCACTTGAAGCCACTGGATGAGCTCATAGCAAAGGCAGATCCTGGTAGACCTGTGGAACCTTTCCTCTAAGAAGGTGTGAAGGTGTGAGAAACGCCCCTAGTTCAGGTTAGACTCTAAACTTTAGCTCGGTCACACCCTTATAGCACAGACATAACTAAAATTTCAGATACGTGCCAAAATCTTACTTTTTAAATTGCTTAAGAAATATTCCAATGTTCATATTTCGTTTTGCATCCAAGATGGTAATCTGGAAAGAAACAGATGCACAAGATTATTTAAGAATAAATAAAAAGAACTAGAGGAAACAACAGAGCTAAAACCTATCAAAGTATGGGGCTGGAGAGATAGCTCAGCAGTTAAGAGTACTGACTTCTTGCAGGGGACCTGGGTGTGATCCCAGCACCCAAATGGCGGCTAACATCCATCTGTAACTCCAATTCCAGGAGATCCGACACCCTCTTCTGACCTCCTCAGGAATGCAGGCAATACACTCATATACATAAAAAAATAAAATATTTTTAAAACCTATCAAAGTATAATGTTAATTTATAAGAGAACAATTTCTAATGTATAAATCTGGTGGTTAACACATGTACGTAATATAGTTTTATGAATACTAAGATATTATCATCTCTCCAAACTTTATGCTATATTATATATCCTTAACAGTAAAAATGACATGTATCACTGGGCATGGTGGCACACGCCTATAATCCTAACACTTAGGAGGTAGAGGCAGGAAGATCAGGAGTTCAAGATTAGCCTCAGCTACATAGTGATTTGGAGGCAAGCCCGGGCTACATAAAAGCCTGTCTCAATGTCCCCCACCAAAAAAAGAATGTCATTCTTGGACTGGGGACATCTTTAGCTCAATGGCAGGCCATGTACCTAGTATGGGCAAGGCTCCAGGTTCCAGTACTAGCACTACAAAAAGATATGTATTTATTATACTAGCATATAATTCTAAACATGTAATATTTTACTTTAAAATTTTCTTTTTAGAATACAGCCCACACTTAAAAGCCTAAGTAGATGTGTTAGCTGGGGGAGAATCACATGAGAGTTGAAATAATAAAGTAAAAAATGACTGAAGAGATCACAGATTTGGGTCCCAATTTTGATTTACAGTTGTAAAATGACAAATACTATTATTTTCAGAAACATCATAAGTCTCAATTTTTCCCCGAAAGAAAAAATTCATTTTATTGAAATAAGACTATTAATAGCCCTTTAAGGATGAAGTAAAGAAGAGTCCTAGCCATGAATGGGGCGTGCCTGTGATTCGGCTCTGGGAGACTGAGGTAGGAAGGTAGTAAGCAGTTTGAGGTCAGTCAGGGGTACATAGTGAGACTGTCTTAAAAAAATGTATCCTATATTATGTATTAATGTATCCTACATTATGTATGTATGTACATATGTATGTGTCTGAAAGAAATTGTCTTTCAGATACATATGTTCTTTTCATATTTTATTATCTCTGGAGTCAAGATGTGCCTTGTAATAATGGCATCTTTTGATTTAACAAAAGCTGACATAGTTACTTGATTATACCATCCCAGATTTGGACTGTCATTGTTTTAAAATGTTCAAAATTAATAATTTGAGAAGATTTTAATCAAACTATAAATTAGAACTTTTTGGGGGCTGCTAAACATAGAAATAAGTTCTGCCTCCGGAAGTAAACAAACAGGATGAGTGGGTGAAAGAGAACCTAAAACTATCGCAATCTGCACTATTCTATTTTTTTTAGTAAAGGGAGGCTAGCTAAAATAGATGTTCTAATGTTCTCCAAATGTATATGATTCATTGTGAACAAAAGAGAATCAGGTTTCAGCCTAAATTCCTATCTCTACGCCTGCTTCAAGTCTAAGCAGCAACAAGACTGTTAACCACCGTTAATGTCACTTCCTGGCTATAAGGTTAAATTTTTACAAGCCTATGGTTGCCTCCTTTTGAAGACTAATCTTAAACAATCTCATTATTTACTAATCTATGGGTTTGTTTCATGTCAACACAATTGCCTGCTGGCCATAAATAAACTTCAAGCGGCAAGGGCAGCCTCTGTATTGGAATTCTATCCAGGGGCTGCAGTTCAAGTACAGTGTGAAGGAAGGGAGAGGGGAGAGAAAGAAAGGGTAGGAAGAGCGGCTATGAAATCTTACACCCTTTAAGGAAGAGAGCACCTATCAAAATGAGGAATCGCAATTCATTAAGACAGAAAACCATGCCTATTGTAATTCATAAATTAAAAGCCTACAAGTATAAACATGCACATGCTGATAAGGTTGTGTTCACTTCTTCCTAGAGTGGAAACAACCTGTTTTATAATTCTCTCACTAAATTGCCACCTCCTGCTGGGTTTAACGCTGGACTGCAGCATCCTTCCTCCCCCACATACTCCCAGCCCCACCCGCATCCTGTGCCCCCACCCCCTCCACCCTCTGGGGCTCTGTACATTTGGCCTAGGTCCATAGCCGCTACTGCTGGAAAAGCGAAGGGAGAAAATTACTCTTATTATCCCTATTTGACAGATAAGGAAACTGCACCTCAGAGATGTCATTTTGTAACTTCCCCAAAGCAGTACTGGAACAGAAATGTTAGTGTGGTTTCCTCTGATTCCTCTCCCTCTGGTTCCTATGAGTTCAGTACTGGTGGGTCTCCTATGGAAACAGTAAATTTGACTCCCACCCCAGGAGACCAGCCTCCAGGAGCCCAAGCCACCCCAGAGGGGCATCCCAACAAGCTCAAGTCAAGGACAGCTCCGTCCTGTAGGAGATGTCCCTACAGCACAAGCTGTTTCTGAAACAGGCCACAGTCACTAGTCCCTAAGGAAAAGCCTGGGCTGGTCATGACTGATCACATTACCAGGAAAACAAAGACTATTACTTCACCCAAACAGGGAACAGGGGACAAATGACAACATGCCAGGGATAGTGCCCTGCTCTCTGGCACCCTCAGCTTTCCCTAGTGCCAGAGCAATTTCTTTCTGCAGCCTTATCAAGCTGGATTCTTGAGCACTGTTATAAAGGTGTTTGTTAAAGCCCTTCAAAGAGGGTTATCACTGCGTGTGTAATGAGCTTATCTGACTTCCCAAACTCTGGCTACCTCAGAGCTAGTCATTCAGCAGTGAAGCCCTTCAGGACTAGCTGGCAGAGTTCTGGAATCACTGATCCTAGTTGGCTGCACAAGCTGTCGGAGGAGACAAACTGCCCCAAACTAGGGATGAGCCACCCCAGCCATGAGGCACTGTCACCCCTGCCCCTAGCTCCATGGTATCTCCACATACCAGGTCTGTCTTCTCTCTCCCCTCTCTCTGATAGGGCTAGAACCCAAGGCCTGGCACATCATGCAAGACAAGGGCTCTATCACTAAGCCATACCCTCAATCCCCAAAGTCTTGCAGTTTTACCTAACAAAGCCTGCCTCCCACATCCTTTACAGGAAGAAAAAATGTGTTTTAGTTATAGGGAACTAGAAATAATATTTAGCATCGTGACCATTTCTGAGTGTACAGCTAAGTGGCACTAAGTGTATCCACATGCTGTCAGTGACGCCATCCATCTCCAGAATTTTCCATCTCCAGAATTTTCCATCTCCAGAACTCATCTTGCAAAACCAAAGCTTTGAACCCATTAAATACTAACTCCTTGTTCCCGTGTCTAGCCCTGGCCAATGACCCTGGCTGGTACTTTTCATGTCTATGAATTTCTCAACCCCTTTTTCCTATTTTTTAATGAGTGTGTGTGCATCTGTGTGTGTGTAAGCCAGAGAGAAATCCCGGATGTCATCCTCAAGAACTCCACGTATGTCCTTTGAGACAGGCTCTGTCATTGACCTGGAGCTCACCAGTTAGGCTAACCTGACCAATCAGTGAGCCCAGGAATCTACCTACCTGTCTCCCCCTCCCCAGTGCTAGGATTCCAAGTGTGCACTACTGTACCCAACATTTTTCCATGAGTTCTGGGGACTGAACTCAGGTCTTCGTGCTTTTGAGGCAAGCACTTTACAAGACTGAATCATCTCCCCAGCCCTTTAGGTATTTCTCATAGGCAGAATCAGACTTTCTCTATTGTGACCGGCCTATTTCATTTAGCCTTAGTTCAAATGGTAGAAGAAGAAAAATTGTAAACCATGTTTTTGGATGGGCTTTTGGGGAGTGAAGGGGAGGTTTTCTTGTGGTTTTGTTTTTTCCTGGTGCTGATGTTGAACCCAGGGCCTAAACATTGCTAGGCAAGCTACCACTTAGCCAAATAAATCTGAACCCCTTAAACTACCTTGTTTCAGTATATCAAAGAGGGCTTCCTCACCTAAGTATGTCACCTTAAATAGTAGCTTTTTTTTATCCCATTTCAAACTCTGAAAAGCAAAAACAATTTAAACCTTCTTTCTTTCAGTATAGGACTTAGCTTTTAATCCTTGATGTTTTTTCATTGTTTTATTTTTGGTTGACTATCAATTGGAAATTTGTTCTTCCCCTAATTTTATGAAAAAAAAAATGTCAGCTGAAGCATATTTTTAAAAAATCCAAATACTCTATTTCTATAGTTCTGGATTGTGAGTAGGTCCTAGGACTTCAGAACATATTGAATCATAATAATAGTTGCAAAAGAATGACTGTTCTGAATTACAGTGTGGGAGCAGGAAACAGCACTGCTCATAAATTTAGAAAGAGCCAGGATCCCTACACCTCTCCCTCCTCCTTCCTCTCTCACCCCCTCCTCTTTCCAATTCACTGATAACATTGTGTCAATGCACACTCAGTCACACAGTCACCACAGTAAATGGTCCCTAGTGCTTTCCTGATGAACCCCAATTCCGATCTGTCCTTTCTGAGGACATCTGAGCGATAGACAGGAACTTCACAGTTTCTCAGGGATGAATGAAGTCTGAGCTGAGCCCTTTCATTAGGATCCCAGTCATCATCAGTGTGTCTTCAATTGTTTTATTACAGTTTAATTATGACAATGTCATCACATCTATGATCTTCCTAACTTAATTTTTAGGCAACCAAGATACAAGGACAGTAGTATTATATAACCTTATTTTCCCCGAATTTATTGCTTTAAATGCTGGTCTTTCTAGGCATGCTATTCCCAAACTCACATCTTCCCTACCCTTCAGCAAACTCTTCCTCTGGAACAAAATGTAACTTTCTGGTAATGCCCTATAAAGTGAAAGGCAATCACATACTATCAGGCTGTTTCTGTGCAAGATTATTATATGACAAGGGACACAACCTGCTCCTCTGCACATCTGAACCCCCGGAATTATGGCCTGTGTTATGACATGTTGGTGTCCCATGTCCAATCAGGGGCAGGCCTCTGAGGAACACATTGCTCAGCATGTTCTCCAGGGCACCGGGGTGAGGACTGCTGCTTTTGACCCTGGAGTCCACTTAACTGCAGGGTGAGCCGGAAGATTTATTGCTGATCTTTGTCAGAGTATTACTCTGCTATTATGGCTTCTTCAGGAAAAATTCCAGTCAAGAAAGAAAATGACAGGTACCAGCTTTTTTCATGAGAAAAGCATACCTAACACCTCCAGCCATGCTGAAGGTAACGTGGACAATTGAAAACAATCCCTGGTAACCTCAGTTACATGGTAATGTCAACCAGCAGTTGCTACCATGAACTTAAATGGACCAATCTAAACTCCCTATTCCTGCATAATGAAGAGCTGAAGGATTCCATTGCCTCTTGGTACTCAAGACATTCTGACTTATTTTTTCTAACAATACTGTCTCTTAGAGTCATATCTATAAGTGTCAAAAGTCATCTTTGCATACTCATGTTCACAGCAGCACTATTCATAAACAGCAGAAGCAACACAACTATCAAAAGATGGCTGAAATGATAGCAAAATGTGATACAAGCATACAGGGGAATATTATGTGGATTTAATTCTGACACAAGCTACAACATGCGGGAACCTTGAGGACATCAGGTCAAGAGAAAGAAACCAGCCGCAAAAGACAAATACTGCATGATTCTGCTTATATGAAGTGCCTAGAGTAATAAACTTCATAGAGAGAAGAATAGAACTGTCAAGAGCTGATAGGCCGGGTTGGAGTTGGGGAGGGGGACTGGAAGTCACTGCTCACCAGGTACACAGCCCAGGTGTATAAGATGAAAGGGTTCTGGAGGTGAATGGTGGTGATAGTTGCATAACAATGCTCATATACTTAATGCCATTGAACTAAAAATAGTTAAGGTAGTAAATTTTATATGTATGTCACAATTAAAAATATGTTTTAGGGCTGGAAGTATAGCTCAATGGCAGAAGACTTGTCTAGCATATGCAAGGGTTCCATTCTCTACACCTCAAAAAAAATTAAAAATAATTCTTTTTGCCCCGTTTGAGATGGGGGTAGCCCTGGTTGGCTTAGGACTTTCTGTTGATCAGACTGGCCTTGAACTCATGGAGATCTGCCTGCCTCTGCTTCCCACGTGTTGAGATTAAAAGTATGCACTACCACACCCAGCAAAAAAATTGTTCTTTAGAGCTGGGAGGTGACATGGTGGGTAAAGCACAAGCCAGATGACATGCGTTAGGATCCCAGACCCTACATAAAAGCTGCTCTGGGGGCTGGAGAGATGGCTCAGTGGTTAAGAGCACGAGCTGCTCTTGTAGAGGACCCAGGTTTGAATCCCAGCACCCACATGGTGGCTAACAACCATCTGTAACTCCAGTTCCAGGTGATCCGACGCCCTCTTCTGACCACCTCAGGCATTGCATGACATGGGTGCATTTACACACATGCTGGCAATACACTCATACACTTAATAAAAATAAAGAAGACAGGAGCTAGCCTGGGTGAATAAATTTTTTGGTTTTTGTCTTGTTGGGACAGGGTCTCCCTGTAGCCCCAGCTGTCCTGGAACTCACTGTGTAGACCAGGCTGGCCTTGAACTCACAGAGATCCGCCTGCCTCTGCCTCCCAAGTGCTGGGATTAAAGGAGTGTGCCACCACACCTGGTAATAAATTTTTATTTTTAAAGCTTCTCTGCAGTAGCACAAGTGTCTGTAATCCCAACACTCCTACGGGAGGTGGGAGGAAGGCAGGCGCTAGCCTGGGTAAATACTGATGAACAAGGGAGACCCTGCCAAAAACAAGATGAAAGGCAAGGACTAACATCCCAGATTATCCTCTGACATCCACTGTGCACTGTGGCATGTGAGTACCCCACTCTCATGAAGAGATACATACACATATCATACACACAATTAAAAATATTTTTAAAAAGGAAGTTAGGGTCTGGAGAGATTGCTCAGTGGTTAAGAGCACTGGCTGCTCTTCCATATGGTTGCTAACAACTGTCTGCAACTCCAGATCCAGGGGATCTGACGCCCTCTTTAGACCTGCACAGGTATTGCATGATATAGGTACACTTACACACAGGCAATACTCATATGCATAAAATAAAAATAATAAAAAAATTTAAAGGAAACTATAAAAACCCCTCAGATGGGCTGCAAAGGTGGAGAAAGGCACAGACATTTTCTCTGCACTTCGGATATGGTTGGGAAATGGACATTTCTGCTCTTGTGATAGTTGGGAAAGAACCATCGCATTGCTTTCTGGTTTTCTTCCTTCCCTCAAGGGCTCTTCGCTGCTCTTTAATTCACAATTGTAAAGCAATTTCCCCTTAACACCTGGAAAATGGCCCAATTCCCAGAGGACATCACCTTCTCTCAGCTGAGGGCCGCCTCTCCCGGAGTACACTAAGCTGACCCCCTTCTGTTTCAACTGCTCCCCTGGGCCACGTGGCCAGTGTCTGTACACTGTACACTGTTCAGTCGCCTCAGAAGGGTGAAGTAGGAGATGAGGATGAGACGTGAGCAGCTGCACAGTAAGTTACCTCTGTCGGGAGCTGGGCCAAGGCCATGACACTAAGGAAATGACTTTTTGCTTCCGTCAGTACTGAGAAGGACACTTGGCCAAATAAAAGGGCCTGGCTTAAGAGGGGACACTCGGTGATTTCAATGGGAGATCATACAACCAGCCTGAAGGGTCCTCGGGGAGACTAACAGGAGTTAACATATTCCAGAGCCAGGAGGAGAAAAGAGGTCAATACTGTTGGCTCAAGATTTCAATAATGCATGGAGCGAATACGTCATCCCAGGGCCCTGCCCACTCTTATCTAGGCAGCTCCATCGCTGACCTATTTTCTGTGTTCCTATACAACTAATTAAAAAAACAAGGATTTACACTGAGTTGTGTATGTGTGTCCTCTTCCCTCTCTACTCCCCACCTTTCTTCCCTCTTTCCCTCCCAGCAGTCTTTCCTTTCAATCCTTGATTCCTTAATTATTTCTCGAAGCAGCAAAGGCTTCTTAGTTTACTGTATAAACTGAGACTCCTGACAAATGCTGTTGTAGTTCCATCTGTATAAAACACAGCAATCTGTAGTTCTGGGGTCATGCTTTCAGTTAACTTTTGATAATTTAATAGCTTTTCTCCCTCAAAGTAGCGTATTTAGTGTCAACTGGAAATAAGCCTCTTATAAAATATGTCTGAGGCTGGGTGTGGTAGCACATGCCTTTAATCTCAGCACTCAGAAGGCAGAGGTAGGCAGATCTCTGTGAGTTCAAGGCCAGCCTGGTCTACATATTGAGTTCCAGGCCAGCTGGGGCTACAGGGAGATCCTGTCTCAAAAAGACCAAAAAAATAAATAAATAAAATAAAATCTGGGGAAAATAGCTTTATGCTTTGGCTCTTTGAAAATCTGTCTCCACAAAGACTGTAACTTCATTCAAAGATCTAAGGCTTGGAGGACATCTCAAAACACATCCTGAGGGCACACTGGAGGGGAAGAGCCCTAAGGTGGTCTAGTACTTATGTCACTTAGCAAAAGGCATTTGCTCCCACACAGGTCCAGCTCATCCCAGAGAGCTGAGTTCAGAGCTTAGCCTTCTCTCCCACAGGAGACTACAAACACCAGGTTCCAACAGACCATATCCCCCCAGGGATACCCCAAGCAGATGCGCTAGCAATAGGGCAGTGCTGAGAGGCCAGAGCCCAGCAGCCTCAACTCTCGTGTTCTCTGCATGAGGTCATAATCCATGGGGATGCCTGGGAGGATCCTGTAGCATACTCCTTAAACTTTCTTTCCCTGCTCAGCTCCAGCTCACCCTGTGAACCATGCCTGTCATTTCCACAGCATATCTGCTTGCATATTCTCGTTTCTCAGTGTATCTACCAATTATCTGAAATAGGCCAACTAAAACACAAGGCAACATGAACACAGAGGCCCGCCCCTAAATTCCATTCTTACCTCTTCCCGGACCTCCCTGAAGGATGAATTTAAAGCTCCTCCTCTTCTGGGGAGAGAAGCCTTGGTTGTGTCTTCTTGCTGCCCAAAGAGCTCTTCGATGGTCTTTGTGTCGATCTGGTAGTGATGCTGCTTGGCCGCTAAGGTCCAGATGTTGGTCTTGCCACGAACTTGCTCCTCTGGAATAGTTTTCCAGAAAAAGCTTCGCATCCGTTTCTTCTTACCCAGGGAGCTACAGCCATTCATTTGAGAAACCGGGGGTAGTCCTGGGGGAGGAGGGGGGACTGGAGGTCCCCCAGGAAGCGGAGGTGGCAGAGCAGGAGGTGGGGAGGGGGAAAAGCCCTCCCCTGAATGTGGGCATGGTGGAAGAGGAGGGGGTGGAGGAGGAGGTGGAGGAGATGCTGGGGGTGACGTCTGCCCAGTCATGAATCCAACTGCTGTGGCAAGAGTCCCATTTTCTTTATCACTGGACAGGGAGACACAATTCATAACATGCATAGTACTGTTGCCTTCTAAGGAGATAATTCCTTGACCTTAGAGAAGCAGACACAAACATCAAACTTGTGTCATACTTCTTGGCCCACGAGTCGGCTTCCAGAAGAGAAGACAACTGAGCTGCATGTTAGCTTCCAGACCTGCCAAATGGAACAAGTTTAAAGTCAGCGCAGGCAAACATTTTCACACTGGCCTATCCCCTTCAGCCCGCCCACAATGGGTGGACACTCAGGTCAAGGGGACATCTCAAAGGGCATTGGAAGGAGCTAATACTTTTCTAAATGCAAATCACATTTTACTACTGGGAAAAATTTCCAAAGAAGCAGCAATAAATCCAATTTGGAAATCTTCCATTAATAAATAAGGCATGTAGCTAATCAGCGCCTGCTATAGGCTCAGCAAGTAGTGCTCGCTTTATGAATAAACTACTTGTTCACCAACTGGTTCCTTCTCTTTTGGGCAATGTATCCCAGCCCCTGAGGAAACTGTCCAAATTGCTGAGGCATTAGGTGCTTAGTGACCTTGCCTTTTTCCAGTCTGGACACGTCTCCAATCACTGGGTCAAAAGGCATCTTCCATGCTGAATGGAGCAGGCGGGGCATTTAAAGAAAATAATGGGCTAGCTCGTTTTCCTGGAACCAGGATCACCGTGTTCTTGCTCCATGGGGTGATGTGGTTCCCTCAAGTAGAGAAAAGCATGCCAGGGGTACAGATTACAGATGCCAATCTAAGCCCCACTTTCTTGCTTACAATATTAGACAAATTACACTGCTTCACTAGACTTCAGTTTTGTCATCTATAAAATTATGAAAATAAATTAAACCTCTATCACCCCTTCCGATGCTGTCATCATGGATTCTATTAAAGCCACTCTTCAGAGACTCTAAACTTGTTACCTACCTCTTCTGTATTTGTGACCCTATTAGCAAAGAGGGACCACAAGGACGCACAGCCCCTATCACATCCACACATGCCTAGCCCTTATCCACCCTGCTCACTTATCTTGGAGACTTGTATTTTTATGGGCTTTCAAATGTTTGCTTTTGGCTTTATACTGGTTGTTACTGACCCGATGACAAACAGGGTCAAAATAACTACATTTCTTCTGGTATGAAGGCAGGTGAGTTGGGAAGGGGATGAAGGGCATCTGAGCAGGATATTAATACCCTAACAAGGTAGAAATATGATAAGAGAGAGCTGCTTCTCCCAGATGGGCTTTTTACATGGCTTTTTTGGGGCTATAATTATCCTTTTACAGCTTGATTATCAGAGCCCAGACTTCAGACACAGGTTGATCACACAACACTAGGCAATATAGTAAATGTATTTATTTATTTATTTTTTATGTGTATGAGTTTTCTGCCTGCATGAATGTAAGTAAACCCACGCATGTAATGGCAGAGGAAGTCAGAAGGTGTCAGATCTCCTAGAACTGGAGTTACAGGCCGTTGTTAGCCACCAAGTGGGTGGTGAGAATTGAACCCGGGTCCTCTGCAAGAACAGTGTTCTTACCTGCTGAGCCATCTCTCCAGCTATATAGAAGCAAACTCTGATACCACTAACTCACATATTATGAAATGTTTTACATGTAATCACATATAATGCAGGACTGCCTGGGGAGCAAGAGCAGAGTCTAGAAACACTGTTTCCTTGGATCCTTGCTCTGCAGCTTCGTAGATATGCAGCCTGAGCAGAGGTAGGTGACTTAACTTACATTTCAGCATTTTTTCACCCACAAAATTAGAGCACACTTGTTCTACTGACTTGTGTAGGAACAAATGAGCTAATGCAGAAACCCTCACTGAAATTCTTGGGATGGAGCTGGCTATTTCTAGTAATAATAACTGATTATATGCACAGTTTCCCTTTCTTTTCACAGGTATTATGATAGTTTAAAAATATGTTTTGGGGAGCTGGAGGGAGGGCTCAGTGGTTAAGAGTATGTACTGTTCTTGCAGAGGACCTGAATTTGGTTCCTAGCACCCACGTCAAGTGGCTCATAATCATCTATAACTCCATTTCCAGGGGATCGGACACCTTTGGCCTCTGTGAGCACCTGTACTCAGGCACACATACCTACATACACACATATGCATAGTTAAAAAATAGCTGGGCATGGTGGTGCATACCTTTAATCTTATTAGCACTGGGGAGGCAGAGACAGGCGGATCTCTGTAAGATTCAGGCCAGCCTGGTCTCCATGGTGAGTTCCAGGCCAGATAAGGGGATATAGGAGGACCCCGTCTCAAAATAATACTATCTTCTTAAAAGTATGCCCTGGGTTTATAGACAAAATGCCAACTTCATGACTGCTAGAAATATACTAAATATCTTCACTTTCTGCTACCAAAGTTTGTGGCTTATCAGATCTACCCCCTTTTTATATTCAACGGCTACATGTTAAATCATCTCTATGTTACAAGAACAAATATTTTATGAAATATTTAACTGTTTAATGTTATTTATTTATTTACATATTTTACTTTAGTTGTGCTGATGGCTATTGAACCCAGGGTTTTTTGTATGTCAAGCAAGTCCTCTGTTGACCAAGCTATAGTCCAGTTCTTATTTATTTATTTCGGTGCTGGGCATTCAACCCAGGGCCTCACACAAACTAAGTATGTTCTCTACCACTGAGCTACATGCCCAGTCCCTGAAAATTTAAGGTTTGAAAATGGCATTTTGAACTATTAAGTCAATACTTTAAAAAAATCACTTTTCCCATTTCATGTGCACAATTTGGTGGTATTAAGTACAGTCACAATGTGGCGGAGCTACCATCACTGGATAATTTCTAAACAAGTAAAATTAAAAGTATGTATCTGGGGGCTACAGGGAGACCCTGCTTCAAAAAGACAAAAAAACAAACAAACAAACAAACAAAAAACTATGTATCTAAGCTGACTTACAGTTCACCTGAGATACAACTGGCTTTTAGAGTTTTCATAATTATCATTAGGGGCATAACTAGGCTGTTTTCATAGTTGGCACCCCTAAAGCAAATGACTCATTGTCAATTACAGTTTATAGTTATATTTGAAGTCCTCTTTTTTCAAGACTGTACAGGTAATTTTGGCAGCTTATTCTTATATATTTTATAATACTTCTGTACATAAAGTAACTCCTGTATTAAAAAGTTGCTAATTCTCCAATTCACCTCCAGTTCCAGATATGCTGACATGTTTATATATTATCCCTGCTCTACTCCCTCCCCCATGCTAGAGATTGCACTCAGAAGCCTCATGCATGTTAGGCAAGGGCTCTACCTTAAGGCCCTGGGTTGGATCCCCAGCACTAGGAAGAAGAAAGTGATAAGTTTAAAAAGTGTCTGATCTAATAATAATAATAATAATCATAATCATCATCATCATCATCATCATCCACTCTGTGCTGCCAAAGTACATGTACAGGTGTACCATGTTCCATTAAACCCCTCAGTGTGTACATAGAAATACTAACAGCAGGATGGGGCTGGAGAGATGGCTCAGCAGTTAAGAACACTGGCTGTTCTTGCAGAGGACCCGGGTTCAAATCCCAGCACCCACATGGCAGCTAACAACTGTCCATAATTCCAGTTCCATGGGATCTGACCGCCTCTTCCATCCTCTGAAGGCATTACACAACATGGGTGCACTTACACACATGCAGGCAATACATGTATACATATAAAATAAAATAATAATCTTTAAAAAAAAGAAATACTAACAGTAGGAAAGCTATATATTCAAAGGTTGTGTGACATCACCAAACACTGTCTTCTAACACCTACGCCCAAAAGGTGCAAAGCCTTTTGAGGTCTGTGCTGTGCATAGGAAGTACCAGATAAAAGCTTGCCCAAATAAAATGTGACACACATTAACTATGCATTGATATGTTCATCTTGAAAGAATGTCACTTTCAAAAGCTAAGGGAGCAAAGGGAAGCGTCTCACAGGATCCCTGGTGGGCTATCTGGTTAATTTTTTCCCTGGGAGACATCTAAGGATTCTGGCTCCCCAGTAGCTTCTAAAGTTCACTGGCAATTATTAGCTGTGATGCTAATGCTTTTATCACTGTTACTTCAGTAGCACTTCTATTTTGGACAGGATTTCCAATGTCAAAGAGATGGTAGGAAAAAGAGGACACAGATAGCATTCCAAGTCACATACAGCATTTAAATAGAAGATACACACAGAATGTTCTACCATACTGCCTGCAGTAGAGATGACAGTGCAACCGCTCAAGCTAGGGAAACACAGGTGATGCAGTCCTGACAGACGACACTTGCCGTCTGTTTCTCACAGTTGGCAGTAGCCATCAGGGACAATAGGATTAGCCTTGGTTCTGTCTGGGAATTGTCAAGTGTCCCATCAATCTCTCCCAAGACAGAGACAGGCTTGTATTTAACATCTCCCCAAAGGCTGGGGACCACAGCAGCAGGGAGGAAGGAGTTGTTAAAATGCAGAACTATCACAAGTAGGCTCTGAAGGCACAACCTGTCTTCAAGTCCCCTGAGTGATAACCACAACCTATCAGAGGTGAGGGTTGAGTGCCCAACCCTCTGGGGAGACTGATGCTCAGTTGAGCATCTTTTAACTTGGTAAGATTTCACTATGGTGATGTTGTGATCATGAACTTAACCTTCAATATATGATTGGCCAGCACAAAGGCTTGAGTAACAAAGTTCCTGAGGGTTCTGGAGAAGTCTTTGGCTCCAGCCTAACTGCTCTAGCCAAAGAAGCAGTATAGCAGGACTTTCACTTGGTGTCAAACATCTTTAAGTCCCATTGTATTTTGGGCACTGAGCAAGAGAAGAAAAGGGCATGTAGGCATCACTACACAGTGTATCCCCTAAGATATGATCCTGAAGGGCTCCCAGTGCTCAGGGGGTGCCCAAAACAGTATGGACAGCTCTGTTCAACAATAATCAAAAGGAACACCAGCGCCAGAAGAGCTTTCCTGTGGCCTCATGAAATGTGTCACAGATCAGGCCTAGGCTGGAAGGGCAAACCCACACATCTGATGAACTGGGGAGAATTGAGGTTGTAAGACACCAAGCAACACTGCTTTATCTTAGTTGGGAAGAGGGTGGGGTGCCTGGGAAAGTTCCCGGTATTATAAAATATGGTTTCTCTCTTTCCACTCAGTCTTTAGGGACTGTCTCCTCCCTAACAATCTGTCTTTCAAACCCTTTCTGAGTTGTAAGACACAGAATGTCAGTTTGCTACCACACAGTGGAACCTGCGCTGGAAGCCTGACTTGGCACTTCATTGAGCACTGAGAATCCAAGAAAGCATGTTTAATCTGTCGCGGCCAGTAAACAGTCACAGCTGCAGGAGAATGTCTGTTTCTGAATGCATTTTTCAGCTTCTTCTCTTCCAGCCCCCAAACAGAAAGAACAAGCCCAGGAGAGAGCCAAAGGATGCTCTTGAAGAAGACGCTGGCTACTCACTCCAGGAAAACAACTGGGGGCCAGCGGAGAAGGGGTCACACAGGGTCCAACTCAAGGGAGTTTCTATCTCAAGACCTTTGAACACTAGCCCCCAGGGTTTTTAAAAAGTCGTCACGCCCCCTGCGGGGGGGGTAAGGACACTATTTTTTCCAAGTCAGGGTCGACACTGTTAATTCCTAGGTGTTTGACCAGTGGTCCCCTGCCTCCGTGGATCCCCAACTCGGCGCCCTGCTGGATCCACTCACCAAAAGGTCACCAGCACGGCCGCTTCCCGCCGGACTTAGCCCAAGCTCCCCATCCTCAGCAGCGGCCCCAGCCTCGCTCACCAGGATCTTGGTGACAGTAGAAGAGCCCCCACGGGGCGGTCCCGGGCCGCGGGAGCCCAGAGGCGTCCTTATCTGGGCCGGGGAGAGAGACGCCCACACGCGCTGCGCAGGCTCCAAGGCCGCTGGGCCGGGGCGCACCGGACCGACAGCCCGACTCCGGCTCGGGAAGGGCTCAACCCTCCACTTCCCGGTGCTCCCCGCATCCCCTAGTCCCGGACCCCTGCAGAAGTTACTGGAACGGCCACTCTTGCCCACGGGGGGGGGGGTCGCTTGGCTTGTCCCCATGTCCCCCACCGACCCCGGAGCCTCTCAGGGGGCGGCGGCGCGCAGCACGGGGAAGGAAATGGTGCTAACCCGGGCAGAACAGTGGTTTGCGGACACGGGCGATGGCCACCCACTCCGCCCCCTCCACGGGCCTCCGCGGCTACACGGTGTCGTCGCCAGCGCGGGCGCAGGGCTCACGGCCGCACTGCGTCTCCGCAGGAAGGGAGCGGGGCAGGCTAGCTACTGAACCACAGGGAAGACTTCCCGGGCAGCAAGCGCCGCACGAGGGGACCGGGTCACCTGGTGGGGTTCGGCTACGACTGCCAGTGTGCCGCTCCTCCCCACATTGTGCAAGCGCGCACCCCACTTCACTCAGTAACTTCTAAGGCACGTGTGCACGAGTGGGAAGTGAACGCACCCCACACTCACCGTCGCGAGGGCGAGTCCCCTCTGAGAGGGACCAGCGGGTCAAAGTGGTCCGAAAGAACTCAGGTCCCACCCGCGGGCAGCGCACCGCCGCGCTCAGTGTCTGTTGCCGGGCCAGCCCGGCACGTCCCAGTCCCGGGGCACTTGCCCAGGAGAGTGGGGTGCAGAGCCAGCGCCTCTCATATTTTCCCTGCCGCCGGGCCGCGCGTCCAGCAACCGAGCATTCGGCATCGGAGCATCTCTCTTCCGACCCTCCGCGCTCCCCGGGCTCCCATCCGCGGCCCCACTCACCGCGCCAGCGCTCCCCGCACAGCCTCCGCGCAGTCCGGGCGCTGCCGTCTCGGCAGAACTGCAGGCCCGGCCTCCGGGGACCGCGAGGGGGCAGGGCTGCGCGGGGCGGGGCCGCCGCAGGTAACAATGCCGCCGACCCGGCTGCTCTCAGCGCGGGCCGCGAAGGGCAAGCACGCCCTTTCCTGCTCCGCCGCCTCCCTCTCCCGCTTCCACCCGCTGCGCGCCGCCGCTCTGACCTGCGCCAGCTCCCGGCTCCCAGGACTTCAAAGCCGCCGCCCCGCACCTAAAGACCGGCGCGGGCAGCCGAGAAGATGAGATGGCCTGATGGCGAAGACCAGCGGGCGTCCTGGTGGAACGAGCGCGGGGAGGCGCCACACTGGATTCTGAGCACGCGAGCATTTTCCACAAAGGAACCTCTGCGGCAGCCCTCCAGGACACCCTCCCCTGCGCACCCCGCACACACTCGTGGGCACGCACGCAGTCACGCACCTCCGCCCCAGCACGCTCTGCTCCGCACTAGCTCTCTCGCCCGAGCGGCAGGCAGCGCGTGGGGCGCCGTCCCCGACCCCGGAGCCCATCCCGGGTCGCCCGGAGCATCCGGAGGTCCGCTGCGCTTGGTAACTTCTCTTTCTTTTGTCTCAGTGATGATGGTAACAAGCTTTTCAGTTCTGTTAAAGCGAAAAAAGAAAGCAAAGCCAAGGAGAGATGGCCGTGGCAGGCCTGGTTGAATGAAGGAACGCTGTCTGGAAAGGACTCCGCCCACTCATCGAAGGAAACAGGACGTCAGTCTAATCGCGGTTGTTGTTGTTATTGTTTGTTTGTTGTTTTGTTTTTTCCCCCAAAGCGACTTGTGACGCCAGGCAGTGAGCAGTCAAAGAAAACTTACCCTGGACAAACCGGCTGCTGGCATCTCAGCGGCCAGGCGGGAAGCGCCCTCTGCGGGGATGAAGTCATCCCACCCTTTTCTGGGTAAGCCCAGATAACTGAAAGAGCTTTCTTTCTCAGGCTCCAAGTCTGAGCACTTCCACCTCCTCCACCCCTGTCCTCCAGCCCTGAACTCCAGGACAGGATGGGAAACGGGAAAGTGCTAGTTCAAACCAGTCCACCAGCAAGACCCCAAACTGTGCCTGCCTATTTCTTGGCCTTAGCCATTAATGTAGCCTACAACTAACTCTCTCTCTCTCTCTCTCTCTCTCTCTCTCTCTCTCTCTCTCTCTCTCTCCCACACACACACACCCACAACACACACACACACACACACACAATTCCACTTACAACCATGGAAAATGTCAAGGCATTGGGAAATGGGATAAGGCCAGTCTGACTAGGATCTGTTATTCCTAATGACAGTGCTACCCAGGTAAAAGTAATAGCGAATGTTTTAAATGTGAGGCATGGGAAGCTCTCATGTCCCTTCTTTGTCAGAGAGGCCACCCTCTACCTTCTTTTCCACTTCTCCAGCCCTGTCAACAAGAGGGCCCCATACTGTAGGGAGTGGGGGCTCTAAAACCAGTCCCTTTTGCCTCCTTCCTGGAGTCCAGCTGCTCCAGAGGCTGAGGCAGGAGGATCAGATAGCCTGAGCCTAGGAGTTCCAGGTCAGCCTGGGCAACATGGTGAGGTCTCAAAGAAAAAAAGAGCTCCTTCTTGAGGAGTCGAGTCCTGTGACCCGTCCTCATCTTCCCTCCCTTTGATCTCCAGCGTCTGCCTGGTCCACAAGCCTTTCCTCTCCTTCTCTGGCCCCCTCCGGTGACCTTCTTTTCCTTTGAGGACGGTCACAGGCACTTGAAACCTTTCATCTTCTATTGTCCAATATAATCCCATGGGGACTGGGTCTGCCTTTAATCTGGATGCCTTTTTGAAAGAACAGCAATAAAAATGAACAAACACAACTCTAGATTTCCATCCTTGGAAGGGTCCAGAAAAAGATGAGGGCGGTTCTCTGGGGTTTACCCCTATGCTAAGAACTGAAATTCACGTTCACCTGGCGGTATTGCAAGCCCAGATTCCATGCCTGGAAGTAACTCACCTTTGTCTCAAAACCAGAACTCTTCTCTCCCTTTTCTCTAACAGCTGGCTTTGTAAGTCAAAGATGGGTCAGGACTACACTGTTAGAGCAACAGAAACAGGGGCTTTTTCTCACTGTGGAGTCTCAAAAGAGCTGGTTCTTATAGTTCCTAAAACTATCGAGGTCTCTGCAGTTATAAGAAACTTTACAACCCATTATAACACATAGGTCTCTTCCAGGGATCATGAAGAAATGCAAATTCAGACGTAAAAACTAAGGCCACTTGGATCTGTGTTCCCATGAGTGTCTGCAGAAGCCCAAATTTCTGATCAATAAATCCAACTTAATTTGTTATCAAGAACAGCATTGCTCATAGACCACTGTCAGTAAAATGGATGATACTGACTTGGGGTTTGGGCTACTTCTGTGGCACAAAGGGACAAGTGCCATTTCTTTGGCACACAATTTCTATGGAAGCCCATTTCTATGGAAGCTTGCTAGGTTTGCCTTGTGTTGCTAAAGATGTAACCTACAGTGTTGATAGAAATTCATAATGGCTTGATGAATCTCTCTCTCTCTCTCTCTCTCTCTCTCTCTCTCTCTCTCTCTCTCTTCTTATGTTCACATTTACCAAAGCCACTGTTCTATCCCAATGATACTTCTGGCCCACTGCAGCCACCCCTAGCTCTAACTGAAGTATGATCACCTCTGCTATTGGCCATGTGCTATTGGCCATCTTGGGTCTTCCCATTACCCACCAGCCTTTCATTCTGTTTTCCAGCCTAGAGAAGCACAAACGGATACTTTCTCCCCAAATCTACCCACTCAGAGGTTACTGGGTCTACAAGTCAATTTCATTGCTTTCCATTATCTGTTTCAAATCTCCTCTGGGGTCATGTGCACAGGTATGATCTTCAGTCATCCTGCCTCACCTCCCACCCTGAGCACGTCTCCCCTTCCTCAAGCCACAAACATGTCGTGTATCTCTTCTTGTTTTTGTATTTTACACAGATGGTCCAGAAGTGCTTGGAAGAAGCAAAGCACAACTCTGAAATCTGGAAAACAATTGTTTTTTATCTACCAATATACTGATTACCAACCATAGCCTCACCTCCCCAAAGTTCGATGCACCCAGGAAAGAGCTTTGCTCCATCCATATTGGGGAAAAGTGCCAACCAGCCTTCTCTGAAAGCTTCCTAAAGTAGTGTGCCAGAAGTCAGCCCCATCTACTGTTTGTGGTCTAGAGGTGGCTGTTGTTACTGCTGCTGGGTCTTGAGTTCAGGGCAGTGTGGCAAGCATCTTTCCAAGCAAGCCACTCTGAGTGTGTTACATAGCACAGCCCAGGCAGCCCAGAGCCAGCACAAAGCCCTGCAGGGCATCCCTACTTTCCCTGTTGTCTGTGCAGTTTGCTCTTCCCTCTCCCCAAATGGCCTTTCCAGAATGTTCCATTCCTGTCACCCGATTCATTTTCTTTCTTCTGACTTCTATCTCCTCAACCCTGAGAAGTTCTCAATTTCTTCCACATAAAATAGTAATCTATCATTAGGAACCACTGACTAAACAAAGCCTTTAAACCAAAATGAATCGAATTTCAGCACCTATTGTAAAGAGTAGCTCATCATTTCTGAAACAGACTGAGCTGCAAAAGGACTAGATCTAGTCTATGAGCTGGCTTCAGGGGCCCTTGGACTCACTGAAGCCAATCCCCTTCCACACAGGACTGAAGCAACAAGCTGATTTTAAGTCCCTCCCTTCTGTCTCTCCTCTCTTGCGCCTCCTGTTTTTATGATACAGACTGAAGTTTGCTTTGCTTAATCTTTTAATCTTTATTCTTAAAAGATAGATCTGGTGGGATTACTTGTTCAGTGTTTAGATTATAGGTTGCATCCTTGCCTCTTAAAATTGCAAACTGCAAAAACAAATGGCGAACTCCATAGATTGGCAGACAGATGCAAAGGCTCATTAACCATTCTTAGAGCAGCAGCAGCCCCTGATAAGAGAGACTGCTAGATCGTTTCCTTCCAAGGTGGAAATCTTCCACGACACATACAAGCAGTAGGTTGTACATGGCAGCTAACAACTGTCCATAACTCCAGTCCCAGGGGATTTGACAGCCTCTTCTGACCTCTGCAGGCACTCCACACAGGTGCACTTACCTACATGAAGGCAATACACAATACACATAAAATAAAAATAATAAAATTTAAAATAAAAAAGGAATTCAAAAGGATTTGGTGCTAGGATCCACAAATGAGGGAGAACATATGTCTTTTGTTTTTCTGAGTCTGTGTTACTTCACTTAGTCTAACAGTTTCTAGAGCCATCCATTTACCTGCAAATTTCGTTATTTCATGTTTCTTTACTGCTGAATAGAACTCCAGTGGTATGTGACTGTCACTAGGAATGCAAATTTGCCTTAAATGCCTTATTTACAAAATGCAATTGCTATATTCCTATAATTTTCCAAAAAACTTTTGCTTTTGTTTTTCTTATCTATTTATTTGTGTATGTGCGTGAGTGTGCACCTACCATGGCATGCATGTAAAGGTTAGAGAACAACTTTTGGGACTCTCTTCTCTGCTTCCACCGTGTCAAACCTTTACCCGGCGAACTGTACCCCACTCACTCAAACAACTTTTGAACCGGCAAGATACCATTTCATTTTTTGTGAGCTAAGAAAAATTTTTTTGATCTTTTTGAGACAGGGTCTCCTTGTAGCCCTACCTGGCCTGAACTTGCTATGTAGACCTGGCTGGCCTTGAGCTCACAGAGATCCACCTGCTTCTGCCTCCCGAGTGCTGGGATTAAAGGCGTGTACCACCATGCCTGGAGTGAGCTAAGAAAAAAAAATTTTTAATTATTTCTTATTTTTATTTTATGTGTATGAGTGTTATGCCTGCATGTAGATAAGTGCACCCATGTTGTGCAATGCCCACAGAGCACAGAAGAGGCTGTCGGATCCACTGGAAATGGAGTTACAAACAGTTGTTAGCTGCCATGTGGGTGCTGGGATTCGAACCCGGGTCTTCTGCAAGAACAGTCAGTGTTCTTAACCACTGAGCCATCTCTCCAGCCCCGAGCTAAGAAATTTAGAGAGTAAGTTGTCTGTAAATATAAACATTGACCAGTCTGTGATCGCTAAAATGGTAAACCTGGTAGTAGATCTGGGACAAGTTGGGGGTGAGCATGAATAAAATACATTGTATGAAATTCTCAAAGAATTAATGCAAATATTATTTTTAAAGAGGGTAAAATTTTTTGGTAGATACTAAGTAATGATTCCCAAATGTTTTGCATAGAAAATGCTTTCTGGTATGTTACTATCCATGGTAGCGTCAACAGCGTTGCCTTTGCCCTAAGTAAGTGTGGGTACTTGTCAAGAACTGTGGTAGTTTGTTTGAGATAGGGTCAAGAGATTAAAAACAGCTCTTACCCAACATATAGGAATGAGGTAACAAGACACCTAAGGGTCCTTGTCCCCACCTGCCTGGTCAATTTACTTAGAGCAAAGGACAATTTACTTAGAGCAAATTGTCCATTTTCTCCCTTTTGAGGGGTGTGTGTGTGTGTGTGTGTGTGTGTGTTTCTACTGGAAGCTGTGGACTGAGGCTGTACTTATCACTTTAATTTATCCCCAATTCAGTGCTTAGAACACTGGCTGCTATTAGTTTTAAGTCTGGCTGTTAACAACATTTCAATTTGGAGCAGAAAAAAATAACTTCAAAGTGTTCACGACACACAATACTTCCGTCTTTCACTCACCCAGAGTGTGGGCTTAGATAAAAATGAAGTTAGATCAGGTCAGATGCCAGTTTCTTTTGCTATTGGCTTTAACTGTTTTCAAATTGTTTACCCTTCCAAGAAGCTACAAGAGCAAACAGTAATTTGAAACAATAACTCACAGTATAAGAAG